AGTTTAACCACTAAGGGAGAGAATTTGGAGAGGAATAAAACTTTCTTCTTATTAAAAATATATATAACCCAAAATTTTAATGTTTGCTTCCCTACAAAAACCAATGTCTCTCTTTGCAGGAGACACCATCATACTAATTTCCTCTAAAAATCTCACTCCTCTCTTTATAGAAGCCTTATCGCTATGTATAGGAGGCCCTGGGCTCTCTCTCCATCAAGGAAATCCACATTTCCCCGATACGGTGACCCAACAAGAGCATACAATTCTTTTCTTATTTATTCATTGTTTGTTTATGAGGTTTAACACTAAGAGATACCTAAGTGACCTTTAATATCATATCCCCACAAAGTAGGAATACATGCATCCTACATTAGTTCAAGTAAATCTGGGGAGGTGATTTTGGCATCCCGGAACCAACAATTTCCTCATATCAACAAATTCACAAGCTTGACCTTTCACCCTCATCAAAAAAAATTTAGTTTCTTCTTTGTTGCCAATTAAAACTCATATTTTATAAACCCAAACCATATCACATCCCTATAAAACTAGAAATTACATAATGTTTTTTTCCCTTGACATAATAGAACTTAGAAAATCACATATATCCTTCTTACATTCAAGTCAATTAGGAAAGAATCCCTCTTCGGGGCGGTAATTTTGGTGTCACCAACCTGAACACTTCATCCAATTCGAGGATGGTACACACAGTTGGTCAGATAAGAAAAAGATAACAAAGTAGGGTCATCCACAGGTCCTATATCTGTATGATTGATGCCAAGGACGAACTGTGTTCGCCTAAAGGTTCCCACAATTTTATGTGGATAAGCGGGTTCATCTCCGCCCTCCATTGTTGAGACAAACGGCAGATAGAATGAGATAGAGAGAGAGAGGTAGGTGTGATTGGCATCTTTTGATCAATCACATGAAGAAGTAGGATCCAAGGATCTAAACTTGCAAAAGTCCAAAGAGCACACGTTATAAATATACATGCTCCAACAAGGCTTAATATTTCCATTACAAGAAGAGATGCTGTTAAGATTGTCCACTCTAAAATAACCCTAAAACACATTAACATAGTATTAGAGAGAGAGAGAGAGGGAGAGAGGGGGAGAGAACATTGGGGCCTTATTGCTCCAGCAAAAGTCCATAAAAATATGACAACATTGGAGAGATCTCTAGTTGAAAAGGAAATCTCAGCCGTCCATCATTGATATTGGACAGTATTGGGAGCAGATTATATCTATGCGGGACATAAACAAGTACTCCAGTGGTCAGACCCCTAACGTTACACTGTGGATTCATACACAAAGAAGTATTACTATTGAAAAGGGGCTCGGTTGCGGTGGTAGCACCCCATATTTAATTACCATGTTGTGGTTTTCAATCCCATTGATGCTCTCTGCCTACTAACATCTAAAACTTAAAAAACCTAACTTCTAATACATTTGAAACGGTAGTCGATATTTAATGCCTGAGGTTAGGGCTATTCGGTATTAAGCCCCCTGGCCCATTACTACCCCTATTCTCTATGTCAATCTCTCCCTTCAAGGGGTTTTAAGGTTATATCGATGTTGATGTGCATAAACGACTGTCTATCTTGAAATAGACAACTCGGATTTGGAGATTAAATGGATGGATGGCCCTTGGACTCAGGTGATCTCAAGTGCTAAATGTGATTGATTTCTCTCTCACTTGGGCTACTGTATTAATCCTGTTTTATGTGTTTTTATGGTAGGGAGAGGGAAAGAGGGGATTGTTTTATTGGTGTGATTGAAGATGGTGAGACTTGTGTTTATAGTAATTTTAAGATACGTAATTTCCAGGTGCTTTGGTCGTTATAGGAAAAGAAGGTGGTGCTACCAATTATTGAAAAAACAGAAACGAAAATGTTTCTATCGAAATAAGTACAACCTCATCTCAAAACTCACAGAAAATTGTAGTTCTGGTGTCAAAAAACCTTCAAATCGACCTTCGCCGCCTTGAACATCATGGTTGAGAAAAAACAAAGGATTTCAAGCCCTAAAATAATATATATTATAACACATTATCTAGACCATCCATTTTACCCTAAAAATAAGTGTTAATAGATCTACAAGGTCTATATATTTTTTGAACTTCAAATTTCATAGTCAATATTAGAAATTGATTTTAGAGCTATTATAAATAGAAAATTTGTTTCATGCGGGCTGGACCGCATTTCTACATATGCGGTCAAGAAAGTGTAAAGCATCCATCTTAAAGATGGATGCAAGTAGGTGTTCCATCTAAAACCGATGGAAATTAACGGTCCAAATGTTTTCTCACTAGAATTATTAGTTTTAATTTTTAAAATTTATTTATTTATTATATTCCTGATCTCCATGTTAGAGATTACATGTCCTTAAAAATTAAGTCCTAAAATCTATCTAAAAAATAGATTTATTAAGAGGCGTGCACTTCTACATATGCGAGCTTGGTTGCACAGAAACCGGATCCTTATAAATATGGGTGTGGTTCGTATAAGACCGAGGCCCTAAACAATCAAAGTAATGCACACCTTCAAATAGTGCCTAAATATGTTGTTTCAGTATTAGAAAGCTTTATGATATCCTGAAAATTTATTTTTCATCTCCAACTATAAAATTTAGATCTTAAACACTTGAAAACTTGAAAATTCGTGGTTTAGATAATACATTATAAGATGCATTATTTCTAATACTTGAAATCTATTTTTTCTCATGTCCATAAATCTTGAGGTTGAGATGATTGAATTGAAGGGTTTTTTGGGATCGAAACAACCTCTTCTTATGAATTTTTAAGCTGTGCTTAAAAAAAAATAAAATAATAAAATAATAATAATAAAAGAAGAAAAAAAAAGGAGGGTGCGCTTCTTTCCAAAGGTGTGTGTGCTGAAACATCCAAATGGCTGTAAAGCGATTCCCGGGATTGTTCAAGTGGCGGCAAAGGGAAAGGAAGAAAAGGACGTGGGGAGACACTCGTGGATATGATGTGACATAAGCCATACCCTCCTTCTCCCTCTCTTTTTCCCCTTCTGCATGTGGCTCTTGGCATAATGAGCTATTACATTGTCCTCTCTCACTTTTTCTCTCTTATCTTCTCCCTCTCTCCAATTATGTGTCTTCTTCCTCTCATCCCATGATAACCAAGTTGTCCTCTCTCTCCCCCCCCCCCCAAAAGTATAAGCAAGTTTCTCTTTCTCTCTTTCATCGCCAATTTTCTCTCTCATCTCCAATTTTTAATTTTTTAGAATGATTTACATATAAAGTTTAAAATTTTAAGTAAAATATAAAATGTTTCACTTATATGCGAAAATTACAAATAATATAATTTTTTTTTATTTTTTTCAAAAATACCCCTCGATCAACTCTAATTTTGATATATTTTTTTAGTTTTTTTGTTAGCATGGGAGTGCTTTAAAACTTGGGGCTACCCAACTAACGAAAGAACAAAAAAACCTTATAAAAAAAGAAATTCCAGATTCGGGTTGACGAAGGGGTAATTTTGAAAAAAACATATAAAAATGCATGTTGACCGACTATTTTTGTAATTTTCACATATAAATAAAACATTATGTATTTTACCTAATATTTTATAAACCCTACAGAAATCACTCTACTTTTTATTTGTTTTTCTCTACGATCCCGTGTTTAGGAGTTCTTCATTCTTCATCCTTACCTCATAATCTTCCCTTAAGTGCACAAAAGTCCATCATGCATGCCTCAAGCTCTTCTATGAAACGTGATTTCAATGTCTTAAATGTATAGAAGCCACCCTATCTCAATCAAAATTTTCCAATTAGCACATTATTTCAAACACTTCTCCAAACACACAACACAAACTTTCTCTCTCACATGCCCAGAGCCAACAGACACAGCTATAACTGTTTAATTAATTAATATAACTGCTATGTTTCATGATATGCCTCTCTTTCTCAATAACAATTCTTTATCAATACAACCGTTCTCTCTCGCTCTCTCCACTTATAGTTAAAAATAGTGATTATATAATGTAAATATATGAAATACTGCACTCAAGTGAACTTTTACTTCAAACAATACCATTAACAAATTGATTGTGAAATGAGATGTTAAATAGCTCCTCGGACCATCATATGTTCCTCAGCTTCAAGAGAGAGAGATAGAGAGACAGCATTTATAACAAATAGTGGCTAACCTTTGCCTATATGTGGTGTTCATTTTATCGAGAGAGAGAGAGAGAGCAATTATAACAAATAATAGCTAACTTTCAATTATAACAAATGCAAATAATAGCTAATTTTTAATTATAACAAATAATAGCTAACTTTTGGCTAGGAATGGGGTTTTAGTTTTATTTTGTCTAGTGCATTGGAAAAAAACTAAAAAAAACTTTAAAAAACATTAAAACTAAAAATTGAGTAGACGGAAAGGTATTTTAGGAAAAAATAAAAAATTAATTGACCTATTTTCGTTATAATTTTCACGGAGCATTTCGTAGTTTACCAAAAAATTTAATGCCCGTACGTAAATCACTTTTTATATTGTCTATTGCAAGTTAGTGAGAGAGAGATAAAAGACCCCAATTATACTAAGTAATTGAAATTTGCAGGAAGAGTAGAGAAAACAGAAGGAATAATTTCAATTTAGAAGAAATAATTAGATGTCCTGTATTTGGACACTTAAATGCAAGAAAACGATTGGGGATTCAGAAAAAAAAAGAAAAAAGGAAAAAAAAAAAAAGAAGAGAAAGAGAGAGAGAGAGAAGGAAAAAAAACAGGTGGGGGCCGAGGGTTTTCCGAAATTAGGTTTGGGTTTGGTGAGGGGAATCTTTGAGAAAGTGCAAAATTGAGGGGCGACAAATCACGCAACAAAGGAGTTTGTTAGGCTCCTCACATGATCCACGGCCTCACCCTCTCTCTCTCTTTCAAGGAAAACGACACCCTTCTCATTTATTTTATCTTAACCACCCCCTCCCCCTCTCTTTCTCTCTCTTAACCCCCTGTCATTAAATTTTTTTAATAGTAATCTTCTTCTCTTTCTTGCCTTATTATCAATTTGTACCCCATTAGCATTCCCTCTCAATGGAGGATGCCAAAAACCCCAAAGATCAACACACTGTGCATCCTCCTCCATCAACCTCTCCCATGGCCACCAAACCCTCCTCCTCCGCCACCGCCATTGATGATGAAGATGAAGAAGCCAATCCACCACCTGGCCTCACCATTGAAGAGTACAAAGAGCTCAAACCTGCGATCAAAACCTACCATGGCTCCCAGCTCTCCCCAACCGCCCCCGAAAAGTGCTCCTCTCTCATCGTCCAGCGCATCAACGCCCCTTTGAGAGTGGTTTGGCCGGTTGTGCGGAGCTTTGATAATCCACAGAAATATAAGCACTTCATCAAGAGCTGTACAGTGAGAGGAGATGTTCGGGTAGGGACTGTGAGAGAGGTTACTGTCATCTCAGGACTGCCGGCCTCGACCAGCACTGAGAGGCTTGAGATTCTTGATGATGACAACCATGTTATGAGCTTTAGCGTGGTCGGTGGGGAGCACAGGCTCAAGAATTATAGATCAGTGACCTCTGTGAAAGAGTTTAGGAGAGAGAATAAGGTGTGGACTATTGTTCTTGAGTCTTATGTGGTGGACATACCAGAGGGGAACACAAGAGAGGATACAAGGATGTTTGTTGACACAGTGGTGAAGCTAAACTTGCAGAAGCTTGCGGTGGTTGCGCAAAATTCGGCGCAGGAAGCGAGCGGAGATTAATGGTAAGGGAAATCAATGAATTTCAGATCACGTGTTTTGTTTGATATTTTTTTTCCATGTTATTGTGTTGTGTTTCTTCGATTTCGGGTTTGAGACGAAAGTAGATATAAGGAAGATATCACTTGTTTAAAGGAGACTCTTTCTCTCTCTCTCTCACACACACACTCTCTCTCTCTCACTCTCTCACACACACACAAATGGGACAATCAAATTGCAAGAAACAGATCACATACCTGGACTCAAAGAACAAACAAAAAGATCTAACCGTTAGGGATACAACTCTCTCTCTCCCCATTTAGGAAAAATTTTCTCACTCTAACCACTTGCACCAGAGCTCCTACTCCACATGCAACATAATTCTCTCTAACTACTTGCACCTCTCTCTTCTCTCTCTCTCTCAATCTCCACTGGCAACATAAATATCTCTCTAACCAATTGCACCACCTCTCTCTATCTCTCATGGTTGGCTAAGATTATGTTAATTGTCTAATTGTTAAGATTATGGTAATTGTCTACGTGTTATTTTGTTTGGAGCAACGTGTGCTGAATCTCAATCTCTGTGTAATTAGTAGCTCTGCTTTTGCGTTTGGTTCTTCCATCTTCTAGTACAGAGAGAGAGAGAGAGAGCTTTAGCCTAAGGCATTAATCAGAGAGAGAGGTTTAACTTAAGGCCATAATATGAGAGAGAGAGAGCTTTAGCCTAAGGCATTAATCAGAGAGAGAGGTTTAACTTAAGGCCATAATATGAGAGAGAGAGAGAGAGAGCTTAGCCTAAGGCCTTAATCAGAGAGAGAGGTTTAACTTAAGGCCATAATATGAGAGAGAGAGAGAGAGAGAGAGAGAGAGAGAGA